ATGACCTTATCTAGCAGTCAAAATAAGATCTCAGAAACTGATCATATAGTAACCAATATGGGATGGAGAATTTAAAACAACTGTCTTAAGAAAACTCAGGAAGCTTTGAGAAAACACCAAGAAACAATTCAATACTCTAACATAGAAGCTCAACAGAGAAATGAAAGCGTCTAAAAAATTAAACAGAAATCTTTGAAATGAAAATATGTTAATGAAATTAAACATATGCTAGAAGGCATCAACAGAAGAATAGATTAATAGAAGAAACAACTACTGACCTTGAACACAAATTATGAAAATGTGAAAATACACATTTGAAAAAGAAAGAAGAACAAAAGGGAAAGAAGAAAGCTTATAAGAACATTGGGTCAGCATTAAAAGAACAATGATTAGTTATTGGGATTTTGAGGTGGGGGCCCTTGAGAATTTGCTAAAGGTATAAAGAGCTTTTTAAAAGAGATAATAACAAAAAACTTCCCAAATCAAGAGAATACAAATAACCAGGTACAGAAGTGACAATAGTCACAATCAAATGTTTATAAAAAACCAAGCATCCTCCAATGTATATTGTAATCAAAATTGAAGATAAAGAGAATATTCTAAAGGCAGAAAGCAAAAAGAAATAAATAACACATAAGGATATCTCAATTTACCTAACACCAGACTTCTAAGCAGAAATCTTCCATGTCAAATAAGGGTATCATGAGATTTTCACACTGATAGAAAAAAACCTATCAAAAAACAAAACTGTGAGAAAAGCTATCCCTTAGAAAAGAGAGATAGAACATCCTCAGAGAATACATATCCTACAAGAAATGTTAATGGGTATTATAAAGCAATATGTTTGGTGAACAGAGATACAAAATATCATCAAATTGAATCTAATGGCATATTAAGAAGGTTGTGCACCATGATCAAGTGAAGTTCATCCGAAGGAGTCAAGGATGTATCAACATGCACAAATCAATCAAGATGATACAACACATCAACAGAATAAAGCACAGAAACCATATAGCAATTTCAGTAGATGCGAAAAAGGGCATTTGATAAAATACAACATCTTTCATGAAAAAACTCTGAAAAAATAGGTATTAAAGAATGGTACTACAACCATAGATTACATTTCAACTATAAAATGATAAAGGATTAATATTTCAAATATATAAAGAACTTTAAAAAATCAGACCTCCTGAATTTAAAGACTCAATCAAAAAATGGGCATCTAAAATGAATAGACAATTTTCATATGAAGAAGTACAAACAGCAAATAAATATATGAGAAAATGTTCAACATCATTCGTCATTCAAGAAATGCAAATTAAAACATAACTAAGACTCTATCTCACTCCAGAAAGAATAACTGTAATCAAGAAATTAACCAATAACAAATTCTGGCGAGGCTGTGGGGGAAAAGGAACACTTCTCCATTGTTGGTAGGAGTGTAAATCGGTACAACCACTATGGAAATTAGTATGGAGATTCCTCAAAAAACTAAAACTAGAATTCCATTTGACCCAGCTATTCCCCTTCTAGGTATCTCTCCAAAGATTTAAAGGCATCATACCACAGTGATATATGCTTGGAAGCAGCCCATATGCCCATCAGCAGATGAATGGATAAAGAAAATGTGGTATGTATATACAGTGGAGTGCTACTCTGGCATAAAGAAGGATAAACTTAAGACATTTTTAGGTGGATGTGCCTTGAGACCATAATTTTAAATCAAATAAATCAGACACACAAGTTTAAATATCACATTGTTTCACTTGTGTGAGAAACCCAAATGGTAAATAAGGAGCAATCTGGAGGATAAATATTGGGAAGTAGGAAGAATGTGTTCAAATGGGAAGGGGGATAAGGTAAGGGAGAAGGGGAAGGGAAGGAAGGGGAAAGTGATTTATAAAAAAGAGAGAATGGGAGGAAAAAATTAGAAACAAAGCTTTTATAAATGAAGGGATGGGAGGGGAATAAGGAAAAAGAATTAAGATGTATTATGTACAGAAAAAAATTCCCTATGATGAATGTGATCATTATGTATGGCAAATGTGTACTAATAAAAATATTTTTTAAAAAGTTTTAATTACTTGATCACACATACATGAGAAAATTATGGGACTCTGACATGTATTTTGTTTATTTGTATACCCTTATGCTAATTCTACACTGTATTACTATTAGATTGAAATAAGCCTTGAACTTAGATGGTCATCCAACTCTGTTGCAAGATTTCACTATAAAGTTTAGAAGTGGCTTGTAAGAAATGTTTACAGCTACCTCAGCTGGGAATTTGTCATAGGAACAAATAAATGTAGCAAAAAAGGGAAATTTGGCTTCTTAATAATGCTGTTTTCTAATCTAAAGACATAACATTAATTTTTAGGTCTTGTTTAATTATTTTTAGCAATGTCTTATAGTTTTTATTATAGAGGCTTTGATCATTTTTTCTCAGCATATCCCAAGGTATTTTATTTTATATAAATGGTATAGAGTTTTTATTTTCATTGTCTAACTATGCATTGTTCGTGTGTAAATTGTAAATCCATTTGAACAAAATGATGAAATCCTGTCATTTGCAACAACATGGACAGAACTGGAGAGCATTTTGTTAAGTAAATTAAACCAGGCACATAAAGTCAAGTATCACATGAACTTACTCATATTTGGGATGTAAAAAAAAAATGGTCTTGTAGAAGCTGAGAGTTGAATGTTGCTTAACAGATGCAGAAGAAAGTAATAGGGAGGTAGGAATAGAGGGAAGTTGAGTGATAGGTACTAAGTTATAGTTAAATAGGAGTAAGAAGCTCAGGTGTGTTATTGCACAAAAATTGATTATAGATAATGTATTATGTATTTCAAAAAGCTGGGAGAAAGAATTTTGAATGTGTTCACCATAAAAAAAATAAATGTTTGAGTTGATTTATATAATTATCCAGATTTGAATCTTACCCAATGCATATAAATATAAAAATATTAAATGCTATAGTATGTATAATTTTGTTTTTATGTATCAGTTTATAAACAAATATTCACTCGATAAATATTTTAACACCCTCTATGTGACAAGAATATACATAGTGTATAAACAAGGAATGTTCTCTACCCTCAATAGATACATTGATAGAGCATAAGGTCTATGGGTCAATTATAGATTACTTATTTTAATAGTTGGATTTGGCATTCCCCTAGGTTCTTACATATGTAATTTAGTAAGATAGCGTTTACAAGGCTTAGCTATAAAATGGATGTCATTATTCAGTAAAACCTATAGATATCAGTGATACCTGGAGAGTCTTCTAAAAGCAAATGGATGGTAATTTCAACCTGTGATCATTAAAAAACCCGTTTGGAAACATTTTAGCTATTTCTTATGTTTCTTTTATATGAAAGATTATATTTTACTTCTGACTATCCGAAGTACATATAGATATAAAGACTGGAAATTAAATGCCAAAGAATGCTACTTCTCTAATTTAATTTCAAAAGATTTGAAAAAAAATTATGGCTGTAGTTCAAGTACATTAAGTGCAAATTTTTCACATTCTTTCTTTAAGAAGAATAAAAATGACGCCTATCAAAACTCTACTGTTCCAGTGGTTCAGAACTCTGTGTATAGAGTTACAGAATTTAATTTAAAGGCTCCTTCTCGGCATTTTTTCCTCCTTAAGAGAAAATAACCTGGGATATGTTAGGTTAAAAAAAGTCCTTCAGCTTGTTAATTTTGAGGCATCACAATTCAGAGTGAGTCATTGTAGGCGTGAATAAGGAATGACACTGAAATAGTGAGATGGCCTGAACCACTTTAGAAATTAATGAACTGACTGTGATATACTGGTGCCTCTTTCATGCATCTATAATTGGAGTGCCAATTTATTTCCAATCATTTCAAGCACTGTAATTATAGAGCATCATCGTTGTCTGTTTAGCATTCATGTGGGAAGTTGTCACACGCATGCTAGCCAGGGACCAATGTTTTGCAACTGAGATACATAGACAAAATCTGAAAAAATATAAAATGACTTGGTTTGTTTTTCAAGGTCTGAGCCACAGCCAAGGTGGACAAAATTAAATGATGCAGTAGAGTAGTTCATGGATTTTTAAGTATAAAAGTTTCTTTTAAACATATCTTTAAATATGTGGAGAGGAGAGAAACAGTGACAACAGGTAATTGCTGCATTGATTAAATGATGACATTTCAGTAGGCATTCCTTGAGCATTTTCTACAGGCTGGGCAAGCTAGTATACACTGCAGACTAAAAAAAAAGAAAAGAAAAGAAACATCCACACACATTCAGAACAATGTTAACACAGTCTTAGGTAGTTATGCGCTTTCTACCAGGAGGGTACTTTTACATGTCACTTGCTGGATACAATTGTTTTCATTTCAGATCTGATGATGCAAAAGCATAGGTACTGAGGAAGAATATTTAATTTTCTCATAGTTCTGGAAACAAAAAAATAGAAATTTCAAGTTCAAACAAAATTTTAGTGAAGCTAACTTATGAGCACTACTAAAGGCTTAGGCGCTCCTCCATCTGTTCCCATGACAGCATCTTCTCTTAAATTTAATTATTTTATATCACATTGCCTCTACTTCTCCCAACACCAAAAGCAAAGTAGTACCATTAAAACAATATCTTCATTATCTAACTATATTCAAACGAAGGATTAAATTTTCTCAAGATAACTTCATTCAGGCCATAAAACCTTCTGAAAGGCTTTTGATTATTCTCTATGATTTGAATAATAAAATAAAATTCCACCTCTTTAATCTGCTATCCAGGACCCTGAACAGTTCATATGGAATTTACCTGTTTAACTTTATTCCTACTGTTGTGGAATGAATATTGTTCTTTTAAAAGCAATTAATATTAAGCAAGATTTTTGAATTATCCTCTTTGGAAAATTTGAACTTCAATTCATCAAATATTCAGTTTTAATTTAAATGCCACATTTGTAGTCTCAAGGAAATTATAAGGATGAGAGATTTATGGGCTCATAAAAATTGTGATGATGGTAACTACTTAAACACTGAGTAAAAATTCATTATATGTTATTAAAACAATAATAAAACTGAAGGCTTATATGGGAGGATAAGAAATAGAACAGGTTGCTGGAGAATAGGAAAAAAGAGGAGACAGAAATTCTAATCAAACTGTATCTAGCATTCTCTCTCCACTATAGGAAGAGCAAATGGACTAAGTACTCTGGACCCAATCCTAGATATAAAGAAGATAATCCTCCCTTTCCTTTGAACATAACTAATGAACATCAGTGTGTAAACTATTCAGAGGTAAGCCATAACAGCAACTAGTAATGGTAAAGTTATATGGGTAATAGGAATAGTGATTGTTGATATAAATTTATATGAGGACTCTTATTATTACTATTCATAATGCATGACAATTATGAACTATGATTAATTTGAGTAAACCTATAATTAAATTATACTATGTTCTAATTAGAAAGGATAATCTGAAACTCTAAATTTGCTATGAAGAGTAGAGTAGGTAACCTAGCAAGTATTTACTCCCTTCTAAGTATCCCCAACTCTGTTAGCTTCTTTTCATACATTATTTTACGTTTTCATGAAGCCCTAACATTAATATCATTGTCAAAATGAGTAAGGTTCAGCAAAGATAAATAACTAGTTCAAGGTCAACCAACTAGTAGATTTAGAGATCAGATTTGAACCTAAGCTCTTCAGACTCAAAAGTTATATATTTTTCATTTCACTAAATATTTCTGAGAGAAAATGACCAAAACAACTGACCAAAAACAATATAAGGTGAAATTTGCGTAGCTCACAATATCATGCAAAAGTAAATATAAGAGGAGTATTTTATGTGAGAAACCTTGAAAGAAACTACTTCATGTAAACCATACATCCATCCAGCCATCAACACTGCCACTGAAATTTCTGTTTCCCTATAACAGTAACTGAGCACAATGAATGAATTTGGTGAGGATGAATTATTAGTGCAGAAGGAACAATTCTGTGATTGGAGGTGGGTGTGAGTGTGCCTATAGAAAAATGAAACAACTTTTGTAAAAACTATGGACAATCAGAATTCTAAAAACTTTTGCTTCTAGTCCAAGTCCTCATTTTCAAAAGATGTACATTATATATATTAATGTATATAAACTGCACATGTACATATTAGCTGTTCAAATTTTAGAAGATACACACCTAAGAACATATAAAGCATCTCTAGCACAAATGTGGACTTGTGTTAAAAAAGAAAAAACAGTAAAAAGAAACATAGTAGTTACTTGTATTTTTTAAAGTATTTTAAAACTATTTCTATGTTCACACAAAAAATATACTAAGAACCTATTTAAATCTTTTTAAAATTCTTTATTTGAAAGTACCATAAGCTTGGGAAACCAATATTTTACCAAGATCTCTATTATGTCTCTCATGCTAGATTTTTAACATAAAGTGATAATATTTGAAAATAAATAAATGGACACATTTGCTGTCTACTTAATGTGTTTTTACTCAAGTGGGTTACAAATATATTTGTTTTGTATATGTGGGTTTTTTAAATCAACTGCCGGAAAAAAATCAGAAGACAAGATTATCAAGTCACATTAGGGGAATGCTACTGAAGACAATAAAATCAAACTTCTCAGCAGTCTTGTAAGACAAGCCAAATTACCATAATGAAATTTAACGAAGACAAATGTAAACAATATACTGAGCCTCTAAAAATCAAATATACAAGTACATGTTGATTAAGATATTAAGCAATTGTCATTTATGTACAAAGGGTCTTGACAAATGCTGACACGAAGATCAATGTGAGTCAATATTGTGATATCAAAGCACCTAATTTTATCTAAGACTACAGCATTAGAAGTGTTGTATTCAAATAAATGAGTCAATAGTCCCACCGTGCTTTGTGCTGATCACACATTATTACATTATTACATAATTATTACATTATATTATTTCCATTTATGGACAAAACATTAAATAAGGCACATTAAAAACAATATCTAAGAATAAGATCTAAAAAATAATACTAAAGTTGTCCTCAAATATTAAGAGTGCAACATGGAAGCAAGTCTTCCCTAGGGGCAGAGGGCAGACCTAAGACCAGTGCAAAAGAACAAAATACCTCTCGAGGGACTTTTATGAGCCCGTGAACTCTTATGTATCTGCCGATCTGGAAAATCCCTGTGTACAGTCAGCATAAATCTTTTCTGTAGGATGCAAATAAGTAGGATATCACCTCCTATATTTTAAGTTTTCTGAAATCCTGAGAATTTTTAGCCCTCTTCTTCAATAGGAAACTAAAGATGAATCCTCTTAATTCGACCTCCCTCTCTTCACTCAAACTCAAACTCAACCTTCCTCTGGTCACCAGAAAAAAATTTTCCCTTCCTCTATCACAGGAACTTGATTTATGTCATTTCATTCCCCTTTTGAATCTATGATGTTTCTGTTAAAAATAAAAAGAAATCAACCCATGTTTGGGTTGCAAACTTACTACCTTGACTTTTCACATATCTAGAATTCAAAGATCCAGAATTCTTCAATCGCTTCTCGGCCTTTTGGCTAAGATCAAGTGCAGAATTCTTCATCCTGCAAATTGTCCTTCAGACCTTGTAAGAAATGGAAAAGAGCTTTTTCAGGGAGATGGAAAACATGGTCAGAAAGTTGGAAACACATAAATAATGGAAGAGAACTAAAGAAGGAATAAGTGAAGGTAAATTAAAAACTTACTTGTCTCATTTCTAAATTAACAGATAAGGTTGTTTATGATAAAAAATATGTTCAATTACATATGCATATATACACTTATATGCTTATGTATAAATGAAAGACCAGAATGTACAATACTAAGAGTGAAACTTAATACAAACTACTTACTTTGGATGGTGCTGATGTGTCATTGCAGGTGCACCCATTGTAACAAATACTCCACTGTGGGTGATGCAGGATGCCATATTTGGAGAGTCCATGCAGCATGAGGAAAATCTGTGTACCTTCTGCTCAGTTTTGCTGCAAACATAAAATTACTGTAAAAATAAAGATTTTCTTAAAATGAAGCTAATAGTACTTATTCTTTACATGGCTGTAAGAATTAGAACTAACAGAAAATATGTCAAGCTGACACATCATGGCTGCTTTCTGAGTATGGGCATCAAAGAAATTCTGTAAATGCTTGCCTTTCTCCTCAGTTCATATTTTATAGATATTTTCAAAACTCCATGAAAGAAAACGTCTGTACTCCAAACTTCCCCATAGCTAAGGAACATCCAGTTGAAATGTCTTAATCAAAACATGATAAGTATTGTTTACCATATTTATTAATGGATCACAAGGGTAGTAAAAGCCCATGGTGTGACATCTAACTGTGGCAGTTGCTCTCTCATCCATAATCCCTGCCTGGGAAATAGAAAGGTTACTATTTTTACATAAAATAAAAGTGAAATGACATAAAATGCCTTGACTGTGGGTTGACATTAATTAAAACAATGCTCTTTCTAGTGGTATCTCCGTGATTAAACCTCTCTGAAACTGTTTGTTCCCTTTTAAAATAGTCATACTACCCTTAGGAAGAGAAGAACACATTCGGACATTAAATGTCCACGGGGACTCTAGAAGAAAGAGTGAAAAATGATCAGCCAAGCATAAGAACGCAAAAAGCCTCACACTATCTCTAGGACTGTCAGAACTTTCCCTCTGTATAACATTCTAATCTGCCTGCCTCCCTGCAGTGCACAGCAGCACAATGCAGTGAAAAGAATGTGTCTTCCAATTTGCCACACCTGTCACTTCCTGTTTGACTGTGGGTACATAACTACATTGTGCCTTGGTTTCTTTATTTCCAAAATGATGAAAATAATACTTATTCCATCTGGTTTCTGTGAGTGTAAAGAAGAAATACAGTGCTTGAGTTTCATTCAATATTCATTTTGTATAGATTAAAATCAGAGAGCCTCCAGGTATTTTGTTCATTTGGGGAGTTTTTGTTTTGTTTTGTATGGACTGCTGTTGATTTCAGACTCTGCAAGTAAATAGCTAAATGATCATTTCCAAGACTACAGCCAAGAGGACAGTTTTCTTAAAAAAAAAAAAAAAGAAAAAAAGAGTAGTGACCAGGCTGAGATCCTGAGGTCAGAAGAACAGGGTGAAGGTAAAGAAACATTCATTGGGTTGGGCCTACTTTGTGGCTTCCCACATAGTGGTAATAATTATCTCTTAACAAACTTCAAATTCAAAATTTGGTGATTCTGAGTCACTATCTACAGTAGGCTACATAATATCCTGTAAGTATATCCAGGTCCTAATCCCTGGAATCTGTTAATATTTTGTTGCTTGGGGAGAGGATTTTGTAAATGTGAGTATATTCAAGCTCTTGAGTTGGATAGACTAATCAAGACCTTCAGGACAGGCCTTAAATGTAAGTGTTTTTACAACAGGAAGAAATAGAAAGATTTGGCTACAGAAAAGGACAAGGGTATGTGCTGACAAATATTGAAATGCTATCCCTCAAGAACAGAAGGGCAACAGGCTGAAGAATAAAGACAGACTCTTGGTGCTAAGAGGCAAGGAAACCAAATCCCTCCTCAGAACATCCAGAAGGAATCAACCCTGCCTACACTTTTGACTTTTAGTCTGTGAAACCCATTTCAGAATTTGACCTCCAGAACAGAAGACAAAGTTATTTGTGTTGCTTTAAGCTAATGTGTTATGGAACAAGCAGGAAACAAATACGTCTCCATTCTGGAATATGTTTCTAACACAAAAAAATATGAAGCTCCATAAGCAAAACAAGGCAATGTTGTCTGAGGCCTGAAAAAACTGTATACTCTGGTATGTTCACACAGATCTCAAGAGGTATTTCTTCAATAACTCTTCTGTATTGAAATACCTTAAGAGGCAATGAAGCACTGAGTGAGGGGCCCCGATGTGTCCTGCATTATCAAAAGGCAGAATGGGATGTTCTATAAAGTTGGCCCATAATACATAATTGATCACATTTGTTTTAGATAGTTCGTAATGTGATTGTCTATATCAACAGAAGAGCTTGTGTTGATTTCTTAAAATTTAAATGCACCTCTTTGTGTACCCTCCAGGTTTGTAAGCCTGAGGCAAATATTGCCTTTTCTCTTTTTGTAATAAAAGATCCAGACAATGAAGTGGGAATTTATGGTTTGAGGTTAAAATGGTTGGCATGGACAAATATTCAAAGCTAAATCTACTCACCCCTTCTTCAGTGGAGTACATGTTTTATAAATACCAGCTGCTTTACACTAGCATTCAAGGGCTACCAGGATCTGAAATGCACTTCATCTCACTCTGTTTGGAATCCCATCAACTTTCCAAATAACTTCAGTGCCTTAAATGCACACTGCATTTTTTAAAATTATGGTCCTTTCAAATACTACATTTCTCCTTGAGGAATTCTCTCTTCTTTCCATCACCCTCCCGTTAGAGGACCAGAAAATGCCTACTCAAAATTAGGTTCCAAACATAAAATATCACCAGCAACATGAGGCTTTTTTGAACTAGAGTTCAGTTCTCACTCCTACAAAGTCCCTGTGTGCCCTACATTGTTGGCTCCTAGTTATCTCCTACTCAGTGCAAGGGGCTATTGCAATGCTACAGCCCAATAGGAGAGGCAGTGAGTGAAGTCTAAGAAGAAGGTGGCCATCTGCCCGAGTAGCACATGTGTGTACCTGATTTTATAGAAAAATGCCCTTAATGAGGGAAAGTGTTATTTTATGAAGGTGTGTGTGTTCTTGGTCCCTTCACTCACGGAGTCACTGATAATTCTGCTAGTAGACATCCTTGCTCGGTATCTTTTTCCATATGGTTTTACTCATATCTACATTTCTTTCCTTTTTCTTTTTCTTTTTTTAGATTTACTAACAACTCATTTTATTTCTGCTAAGTAACAATGAAACCTTGCCCCTTTCGCTGGAAATTTTCCCACTAGATTCTTCCTTTGATCAACACCTCACACTCATTATCCTTCTAGCTTTGATAAACATCATTCTAAAATTTTCACTTTCCTGTAACAAAAATCCTGCTTTAGTGTTTCCCGTATATTCATGTTCTGATTGGAAATTCTCTCTTTTCTCACATTCCCCATTTGTGGATAATAACCTAATTGTTCATCTAAACCCCAGTTTACTTACTCAGAGAATTTAGGTTGGTCATATATAGTACCTTCATGCAGGATATTTGAAACCCTTCTATGTACTATATTATAATCATCTCTTCTCATGTTAACATTCCTATTTTTGATTCATCATTAATGTGTGGATCATTCAACAGATTTGATTTAATTCTATTGACTGTAATTGTTATTTTTATTCTGAAATTACTATTATTTGGCAACCCATTTCACAATCAGAAGTTCTCTTTTCAGGCTCATTGGGTTATTTTTCCAAAAACAAGATGACTCAAATTCATCTTCATATATTCTGCTTCAAGGTGTGAAATTAACTCATCTCCAGGGAGACATAGTTCCTTTTGATGTCAAAATTCAGGACAAAAGTGTGTATAACTTTGTTCCACATGATTACTGGCAGCCATATAGATTCCTTGTAAAAGGAAGAGAAGTTCCAAAGTTTGTTTCAAATTGGTCACTGTTTCTTTTTACTTTGCTCCAAAATGATTGTGTAAAATTCATTGCACCCTTTCATAAGCCTGCAGTTTTGTCCTATAGCATAGAATCTGTCTCATAAAGCAATGCTATGCCACAAAATTTTCTGTAATGGTAGAAATACTCTATAATATAAAATAATGTCACCCAAGGCATAAACTCTAACCATATGTGGTTACTGAGCATATGGATATGTGGCTGGTACAAATGAAAGAGTGAGTTTTCAAAATTTACCTAATTTTAATTAATTCAAACAAGTTTCACCACTTGTTATTGGTGGCTAATTTTTGAGCAACACAGGAATAGATCATCAAATAAAATTATGGGGTTGAAAAAGTTCCTTTTCCTTGTGGATTCACAGCCATATTTGTAAAGTGTATAGATCCAGCACAGCCCAAGCACAGCTCCAACTTCTGAAAATGAAGAAAATTCCCCCTCCAGAACTACTCTCCCCCAGGGAGAGAGCAGATGATATAAACACAAAGATCACTTAGTGCCTCAAATAATATTACTATATACGTGAATAACAGTAAATACTGTATTTTGTGGTCTGATTTAAATTTCTCTTCTAGCTCCTCTGATATGAAGTATATCAGCTTAACATATTTTATTATGTTGAATAACATATTACATAATATGCAAAATCATTTCCACCATTATTATTGTCATTTTAACGTTTGTTCCCAACACTTTAGAGACATTATACATGGCATCTAACATCCTAATGTCACAAAATTATGATTTCCTTAGTGGAAAGTGAACTGTCAGCAAAATTGAGAGTATAAAACAAGGGAATTTAGAAAAATGCCAAACATTTAACTCATTCATTTTTTCTCAAAAAATGATTTTAAAAAGCCTGGTTTCAAGTCAAAATTTTTAACTGTTACTATTTTGTTTTTAAATGTGTCTATGTTTTTTCATGTCCATTAGTATTTGTTTTATATAGTTGGGTGCACTAGTGTTTGGTGCATATATGTTAATGATTGTCATCTCTTCCTCTTGGATTGTTCCCTTTACAAGCATGTAGTGTCCTTCTTTGTCTCTCTTAATCAGTGTTGGTTTGAAATACACTTGATCTGCAAAGAGGATAGCTAATCCTTCTTTTTTTCGGGTTCCTGTCACATGGAGTGCTGTTTTTCACCCTTTAACTTTCAGTTTGAGTTTCTTTTTGAATTAAGTGTGCTTCTTGTATGCAGCATATTGTTGGATCTTGTTTCTTGACCCATTCTGCCAGTCTATTTCTTTTGAGTGGTGAATTGAGACCATTAACATTGATGGTTATAATTGATAAGTATTGACTTATCCTTGTCATGACTTTTTCTTTTTGTTGGATTCTCCCCCTTTGCATTTAATTTCTTCTCGTGCCTGATATTAAGTTTCTCTCCT